GCTAGCCTTGGACAGGGGCCAGCAGCCGTAATGGGGACGGGGGACTGAAGGCCTGTGCCCCCAAAGCCAGCCATTCATCCACCGCCCGTGGTGCCTCTGCGAATATAGTTCTGTGGATTCCTCGCAACTATTCACCCTGGCTATGACTTTCAATAGCCACGATCTGAGCTACACGATTGGTCATCTACTGTTGTTTCACCTCTCTGATTGGATGCTTCCCAAACCTGCAAGGATCTGCCAAAGAGTTCATGGTCCCCATCCAGCCGGCCCAACCCTAATACACGGGTCATGCTTAAACCTTTTCTTCTTACGTTTCCAACGCCTTGCTTCACCAGCTGCAAAGGCTGATGCGAATGAAAGTTGGTTGAAGAGAATGAGCCTGGAGAAGAAACCTGGGTAGGAAGGTTAGAAAACGAGTAAATAGCTAATCGTGGAGTCGATAGAATTTCTATCGACTACGTGATTGGTCGATACGGGAGAAAGCCTCCGGGAGTTACCCCCTATTGCGGCGCTGCAGTGTGACTGTAATAAGAGCCAGGCTGCCTGCCCGCCCAGTTCCTACTACGTTTAAATGGCAGAGCAGCAGTTGGGGTAACTCCTGGACTCGGCGTGAGCTGGGACGGAGCGGGGTTTGCTCAGTCCCGACTTGCACCGGGTCCAGCAGCCACTGTTCACGGGCTGCTGCTGGAGCAGCCTTTGTTCACGCCCAGCCCCAGCCGCTGTGGGCAGGGGCTCCTCCGTGGGATGGGGAGCAGCCTCTGTCCCCCTGCACTGCTGTCTCTATCAGGAGGGGGGAGTCCACACTGCAGACAGTGCTGGAGGGAACTGGCTTTTACAGAGACAGTAAGGGGGAGGGAATGCGAGGAGTCACGTAGTTGACTCAACTAACCGATAAGCCTAGGCTCGTCGGGTAGTCGACTACTCGTCTACATCCCGAACCTGGGCGTTGTCTCCTTGAGTCTTTCATTTTGTTCTGCCTTGAGCGGATGTTTCCCTGGAACGTCGGGAAGAGTCATTCGGCCTGGAAGTTCAGAGTCGTGCTTTGGCTCTGGAGAAGCAGAGCCGCCCTCCCAGCTGGTACCCCTGGGCATCTTCACTGGCATCCTCAGCAGAGAGGACGAGGATGAGCAAGGAGACCTGAATTCCCTTCTTCCTCCCAGAGGTGACCCCTCCATGGCAGACTCTAGGGGAGGGGCTGGTGCACAGAAAGCCTCCCCCAGCTGCTTGCTGGATAAACAGGGCTTTTCATTCAAGCCTTTTTGCCAGCATGAAAGTAACGCCTGTGTCCTTGCAAAGCGCCCAGCATGTTTGTCCAGATCAGCAGTCTGTGAGGCATGCAGCCAGCCCCATGTACTTACATGCCAAATGAGGGCTCTGGAGGCAAAATGTAACCTTCGCCCATGTTTGTCTCTTACTCAAAAGTCAGCAGGTTTGTTCCATCAGCACTTGGTTTGTTTACTCCAGATGTTTGGCAGGAGGTGGCTTGTGGGAGGTAAACCGAGGCTTGTGGTCATTCCATCTCCCCTCCTCCTCTACGCAGAGCTGCTCTGGGGTCTCCGGTCAGCAGCCTTGTGGGGTCAAACCAGGGCGTGTCTGAAAAAACAGCGCCTCAGTGTTGCCAGCTCTGGTGATTTTTATCATGAGAGTCGTGCTATTGGCTGGTTTTCCGAAAGCCCCAGCCTCTGGATGTGTGGGAAGAGAGAGATTCCCCAGCTTTCATTTTTAAAAACCTACAGAAACAGCCCCCTCTGCGTCTCCGGTCAGCAGCCTTGTGGGGTCAAACCAGGGCGTGTCTGAAAAAACAGCGCCTCAGTGTTGCCAGCTCTGGTGATTTTTATCATGAGAGTCGTGCTATTGGCTGGTTTTCCGAAAGCCCCAGCCTCTGGATGTGTGGGAAGAGAGAGATTCCCCAGCTTTCATTTTTAAAAACCTACAGAAACAGCCCCCTCTGCTGTTGGAAAAAAGCTTGAAAACAGAAGTGCTCAGAAACAAGAAGGCAAATCAGAATTACCCACAGTGGAATGTGCTTTCAAAAACCCATGGGAGTTTTTTGAGCCAGTTTCATGAATGTGAGGCTGGTTCGTGGTTTTGGAGGATTTGGGGCTGACAGAGCTGGAGACCATGCTGCCCCATACCATACGCACATCAGCACTCCCCCTTCCCCCTTCCCCCTTCTGGAGCTGGTATTCTCAAATCAGATCACTTGAAAAAGTCCTTTTAGGGATGCCTGAAAAACTGCACGCACTTGGAGAGACCCTGCTATGCTGCTGTGTGCATGGGCTGTACTAAAACTCACTAGCACCATCTTTAGGCTCTGAGATGTATTTATCTTTAGAGCCCTGTGTGTGCGGATACAAAAACGAGCCGCAGATACTCGCAGAGTGGCAGGGCTCTAGGTATAAAATGTGTATCCACATCCACTTGCGTATCCACAAAAATGAGCCGAGGATATCTGCATCCACATCAGCGGGTGTGGAGACCTGTGGATATAAAGCAGATATCCATGGATTTGCGTGGCTCTGTTCATCTTAACTAGTTATAAGAAATACTGATTTGGGATAAGGAGGCTGGACAGGGATCTGTACTTTCAACCCCAGGGCGACCTATACATGCTCCCACTTCTGCACACGAGCGAATGCACCCTCATGCACATGTGCAAACTGCAGCTTGCGCTTTTGCATGTGTACACATCTGAAAACACATGCTTTACACATGCCCAAGAACACACATAGGCAAGTGCATGTGTAGGTTCCCTTTACTATAGGGCTGCATCTAGACTGGCATGATTTTGCGGAAATACTTTTAACGGAAACGTTTTTCCGTTAAAAGTATTTCCGCAAAAGAGCGTCTAGATTGGCAAGTGCCTTTGCGCAAAAGATCTGCTTTTGCACAAAAGCATCCATGCCCAGTATAGACACATTTTTGCGCAAGAAAGCTCCGATGGCCATTTTAGCCATCGGGCTTTCTTGCGCAAAAAATTAAGGTGCCTGTCTACACTGGCTGCTTTTGCGCAAAATCTTGCCAGTCTTGACACACCCTAGGAGCCTCTGGCTTTTACTGGGAGGATCCTGTGTGCTGCAATCTAGCCCTAGGGACTACAACGCCCATGATGCCTTGGAAAAAAGGAGGGAAACTGTTGGACTTTTGCAGGCAGTGCAGGGAGAGAGCTGGTGGGCTCCAATTTTGGAGAGAGGAACCAGATTGGAGCCTTTTTCAGTCCAGGACCTGCTGCTGGAAGCTAGATCCTGCTGTTGAGAGCCTGCTGGGGCTTGGATCTAGCAAGCTGCTTTAGGGGCTCTTGGTGGATGTCCCTGGAGGTGAGAGGTGGGGGGCAGTGTTGCGTCAAGTGGCTTTCTCCTGAGGAAGGAGTCACAAAGCTTGTGCCCCAAAGAGCTCCCTGCATTACTTGTGCTTGGTTTCAGCCCTGCTTCCAACTTGAGATCCTCCTATCACGGCATAGCCACGAGTGGGCCGTGGCTCAGCCACTTTCCACCCTGGCGCACTCCCCTCCAGCCCGCCCAGCGAACCAGCCAGGGAAAGGGGCCAGGGCACCAGGGCTCACTCCAGAGCTCCAGCTGGGGAGCAGGGCTGGGGCTTGCTCCCCTCTGCTCCCGTTCAGAAGCTGGGCCAGATTTTACCCCTCTCATCCCTCCTGTCCTGCTTCCCGCACCCTCCCATTTTTGCTCATCCATCTGAAATTGGAGCCACCCAAGTGGGGCTTTCTGGCTACACCACAGCCTCCTACCCATTCTAGCTTCTGCAAATAGGGATGAGTGCATAGGGATTCCCCCTTATCTCAAGCTAAAGGGCAGCTTTCTCCTCCCCTGCAGTTGTCTCTGTAGCAGGCGGCGCTGGTTGTATCCTGACGGGTCTTCTGTTCTGTCAATGATGGTAATCTTTCGGCTGCATGCATGCATGTGTGGCTCCCTGTCTGTCGTGTTCACCGTGTGCAATTAGTCAACACAGCAGACGCCGAGGCCACAAAATCAGCTAAGGATCGAAGGCACCAGGCCAGGTGTATTGTCAAAGGAAGTTGTCTGACAGAAAACAGACTCACTTCTGAACCACTCTGCATATGTACCCCCTGACAACGGACCAACTCACTCAATAGTATGGATTGCACTACTTCCCCCTCTCGGTCGGACAAAGACAACTCCCTGGGGTTCACTTTTATACACAGGTACAAACAAAGTGCCTGGCGTATCAGGCGCTCCTGTTGCTTAGTTACCTCCCCTACCGCGGACAAGGAAGGTTTGATCATCATCGATCAGACCTGGGTCGGGCTGCTGGGGAGGTGGTTGGTACCAAGATATCTTTCAATGAAGTGTTCTGTTACCACCCTCCTGAAATGTCCTTACAATCTGTACCTGACGCCCTCTGTTGTTTGATACGCTCAACCTTATTTATGCTTACTCTGATGAACTAAGCTGGCTTCCTGCTCAGAACTAGACTTGGTTTGAGCTGAGCAAAGTCTTGACTATTGCTCCTAGGCCTCAGGCCTCTGACCAGGCCTGAGATACCCGGGCTTATGTTTCAGGCCCTCATCTTCCTACAGGCTCTCTGACAGGAGTGAGGAACCTTTTTTGGGTCGGGGGCCTCTGACCCACAGAAAAATCAGTCAGGGGCTACACACAAGTGAGAAGCAAAACAAAACCAAGACCAGCTCTCAATGACGTGGCCCTCCAACTGAGTAGGAGAAAGACACTCCCCACATCTCCCCACATTCCACTCACACACCAGGCTAGTAGACTTTGTGTGCTCCAGTCCCCCGGGGAAGAGCAGGGCAGGGGGCTGGAGTGCCCGTGGAGACTCCCCAATGCTATGGGGAAGCCCTGAGCCTCGGGGTCCAAATCCAGGCAAGCCAGGGGCTGCATCCAGACCCTGGGCCTTAGGTTCTCCTCCCCTGCTCTGTGCTCGGTCCCCAGGAGAGGTTTAACGAGTGTTGTGAGCCGTCTGGATCTGCCTGAATACAAGAAGCCTGCCTGGGCGCCAGGACTCACCCACTTTCCTGCCTCAAGGCTGCAGCAAAGCACAAGACTGTGAAGTCTCTGAGGAAGACACGGTCCGAAGGGTGAGCAATTCCCCACGCTGGGCGAGATGAAACATCCAGAGAAAGGCAAAGCCTCCTGCCAACAATTGCATCTTTTTTCCATGCCAGCGCCATTAGGAACCTTTCCAACTATGCGATGCCAGTCCCTGCTCCTCTGTCTTTCTTCTCAGCGCTCCTCACATCTGAGTTCAGCCAAGGCAGGTTGTCACGTTAATTGTTCAGAGTGGAGCCCCACCGGCGCCTCCTGGCAAGGGGAGGAAAGGTTATCTTTGGAAACTAGGCTGCCGCAAGAGTCTTCCTTTTCTGCACCTCCCCCATTCTTCGTTGTTCTGTATTTACCAATAACACTTTGGTGGTGCCTTTCATTTCAGGCTCCTGGAACACTTTGCAAATGTTAATTAACTTCCCCGAATTGCCTACGAATTAGGCTTATTGTCAGCCTTGCATAGATGGGGAAACTGAGGCACGGAGCCGCCATTGACCAGCATTTGCCTGTCACACAACAGAGCAACTGCTCAGTCACTCTCTCATAAGCAAAAGGGTGTGGTCAGAAGCTGTATGCTCCAGAGGTCAGGGCACTAGGAGAGCAGTGGTTCAGCTTCCTGCTCTGTCACAGTCTTCCTGGGTGACCCTGGGCAAGTCCCTTCGTCTCTTCAGTGCCTCAGTTTCTCCACCTATGAAATGAGGATAGTAGTGTTGCTTTACCTCGCAGGGGTGTGGTGAGGATAACTGGATTAAACATTGTCAGGTACTGCCGTGCCTGTGGGGAGGGGCCTACAGAGAGATCAGGGAGTAAAACATGGTTTGAATTCAGGGGCTTTTCCAGGCTTGTAAATGATGGCTGGGCAGCCTAGGCTAGCGAGTGAGTGAAATCAGTCACATGCTCTCACCATGACCCCAAGGCTCAGATTAAATCCAGTCATGATTGGCATGCTGACTATTTCAAAACAAATAGCCATGCTCTAATCATTCATGTATTAATAGAACTGTCATCAGCTTCAAATAATAATAATAATAATTAATAATAATAAAAGAAACATTTGCACTTACTTTACAATATCAAATCCCTGCCTGGCCTTTTCCCTGCCTCCTCTCCCAAGCACGTCCCGTCCCCTGCTCTTGTCCGTCCCTCCCAAAGCTTGAATACCACGAATCTGCTGAGGCCAGGGGGCAAGGGGCAGAGGCGGACCGGGGGTCCCAGGATGCCCACTGCTACTCCAGAGGCTGCCAGAGCAGTATCTGAACTTCTGGGATGCTCTTCAGATGCCTCAAGCCCAGAAGGACCCCTCCCTGATGGCACAAAGAGTTCGGGGGCTGAATGCTTCCCCTAAGCCAAGCCAGCAAGCTCTGGAGGAGGGGACGTCCGGCGTGCAAATAATACATTTTTAAAGTACCGTAAAATCTCGAGTATAATGCGCACCTATGTATAGTGAGCACCCTGAGTTTAGACTCTTAAAACCATGAAAAAACTGGACTCCTATGTATAATGCGCACCTATTATACAGGAGAATGGGAGGGAAGGAATGGGAAGAAAACCTTCCCCCCGTCCAGCTGCCCGCATGCCGAGCTCGCGCCTGCCAGAGGGGCCTCCCCTGCCCAGCGCGTGCCTGCACCTCCTCCCCACGCGCAGCTCATGCCTGCTGAGGGTGAGTTTAAAACTTAAAAAAAAAACCTCCTATGGATAATGCACACCCCGACTTTGATGCTAAAAAAAACCGGGGGAAAAGTGTACATTACACTCGTGATTTTACGGTATTAAAAAAGTCCTTTGTTTTCTAAATTCAGGGAATTCTGCCCTGAGGCAATGGTGCCCATCTGGAGCGGATCCAGGGATGTCCGGGCAGCGAGCAGTGCCGCTGAAAGCTGGGGATCGTCAGCAAAGTACAGGCCGTGTTGCAGCCACCTGAGAGCTAAAACAAATGACTGGCGTGCGGGGAGCAAAAAGCAATGCCTGGGATGGCTCAGCTCTCCTGTGCCGGGGGCCCCGTTGTGCCTGCGGCTCTTCAGCTTCCTGGTGGCCAGCAAAGACATTTTCTTCCCTGGTACAATGCCCACGTGGCAATCACCTCTGCAGTTTGTTCCCCAGGGCACCGGTGTCAGCAACCACCCTCTGTGCTATACACCCTGATTTTCACAGATTTATATCTGTTTTTATAATGGACCAGGCTGGGGCTCAGCTAGTCAAATAGTAACAAAAAAATTAAGATTAATACATATATTGCAAATGAATATGGAATATTTGTTCTGCTGTTAATTTTAATGATATTTCGAAAGCTGGACTAATTATTGTAAAGCCTAAATTTTATACACATTTTAGGATATTTGTCTCAAAGTCAAAACAGAAAGCATGTTATCTATTATGTGCTATTAATTATTCTTCTGCACACGGAGTTTGAGTTGCCCAATCAGGGAGCAGAAAAAATATTTGACTTATGTGACCAATCAGACACTGACCATAATGAACAGGAAAAAGGCAAATAGGATGCTAGGAATTATTAGGAAAGGGATAGAAAATAAGACCCAGAATATCTTACTGCCCCTGTATAAAACTATGGTACGCCCACATCTTGAATACTGTGTACAGATGTGGTCTCCTCACCTCAAAAAAGATATTTTGGCCTTGGAAAGGGTTCAGAAAAGGGCAACTAAAATGATTAGGGGTTTGGAACGGGTCCCATATGAGGAGAGGTTAAAGCGACTGGGACTTTTCAGTTTAGAAAAGAGGAGACTGAGGGGGGGATATGATAGAGGTCTATAATATCATGAGTGGTGTGGAGAGGGCCGATAAAGAAAAGTTATTTATTAGTTCCCATAATAGACGAACTAGAGGACACCAAATGAAATTAATGGGTAGCAGGTTTAAAACTAATAAAAGAAAGTTCTTCTTCACACAGCGTGTAGTCAACCTGTGGAACTCCTTGCCAGAGGAGGCTGTGAAGGCTAGGACTATAATAGAGTTTAAAGAGAAGCTGGATAAATTCATGGAGGTTAGGTCCATAAAAGGCTATTAGCCAGGGGATAAAATGGTGTCCTGGGCCTCTGTTTGTCAGAGGCTGGAGAGGGATGGCAGGAGACAAATCACTTGATCATTGTCTTCGGTCCACCCTCTCTGGGGCACCTGGTGCTGGCCACTGTTGGCAGACAGGATACTGGTCTAGAAGGACCTTTGGTCTGACCCAGTACGGCCGTTCTTATGTTCTTATGTTCACCTCCCTCCGTTAGTACCCCTAACTGGTGCTAGCCCGTGGCAGTCCTCCGACCTGAGAACTTGGGCATCAGTTACCGTGCTGTGAACAGGCGGCTGGGAGAGGAAGAGCCAAGGCCTAGTCAGGAAAGCCTGGATTTGCAGCCTCCCCTCACCACAGTTTCCTGCACCCAGAAGCCGGGGCAGAGGCAGAGTGCGTGTGCCGTGCTGCAGCTGGGGGCATGGAAGCCAGGAAGCTGTTTCCCCAAATGTCCACATGTCTGGAGTACAAGGTGACCTCCTGCAAACTCTCACCAAGACCAAGAGTCTGAGGGAATGGTGCTAAGTTGTACTGTGCCCTGCCAGCACACAGTGATTCTCACACACCCACCTTGCGCATGCAAATGCTCATGCACTCGTGCATGCATTAGCCGTGCCCAGTGAGTAAGCAAGAGGAGTAGCCTGCAGGAATCTAGCCACTTGAGCCCTGTGGTGTCACGACCTCCTTGTGCAACTGCGGGAATTGTGGCTGACTCAGAGCGCCCCTCTCGTTATCTGGCGCCGCTCAGAGGAGCAGATGAAGCGAAAGGGAACTATCAGAAGCATGACCCAAACGACGGCTTCTCTTACTTCCTTACACGTTTCACTTCACTGGTGTGGAATGGGGCCTGTCACTCCCGAGTTAAGACAAGCACTGAATTTCCTTGGCCTATTTTAATCCTTTGGGTAATGACCAGTGGGCCAGATATGGCAGCAAATCCATCCCTTGCCACCTGCCCGTATCACAAAATAAATCACGTCGGTCTCTAAAATGGTAGGCGGATCTGCGGCAAGAAAGGGGTTTGTCTGTAAGATTTGAAGTGAATAGCATAGAGGTTCCTGAACTGTGTAACTTGACAAAAATTCCTGCAGCACATCACTGGATTGGGTCCTTAATTAAGCGGCAGAGGTATAGCAAAGGGGGGGCAGAAGGGGGCACTTGCCGGGTGCCACGCTAGGGGGGCGTGGGTCTGGGGTGGGAGTGGAGCGCACGCTGCTCTGGTCCAGGTGACCCTTTGAACAGAGACTCAGGAGCTGGCCACATGATGCCTCTCTCTACACACTGCAAGCCGAGGCAGCAGGAGCGGTGACTTTAAAAGTAAGATTTCCTTACCTGGCCATCCCATTCCTCCGGTGCCTGGCTCTGCGGAGTGGGGGGTAGATGGGGAGGGGATTTGATTGGGGTGGGGCACTCCTGGCACTGGGGATGTCTGGCTCC